GCATGCTCACAGTGACAGTGTTAACATGCTGACGTTTTGCAGGTCATATTTACCACGGTTGCCGTGTTTCTACTGCATGGGAAGGCTCAATTCGACTGTGGATGTTGTGGATAGTAACTTGTACCTTGTACCTTTTGAAAGATTTGGATAGAGAATTGTCACTAGAATCATCAATTAGAGCAACCAGAGTTTTATTATTATTAAAGTAGTATTTCCAGAGCTACAGTTTTTTTTTCAGCAGTATTTTGTGCTTGGTGCATTCAGCCTTTTTGGAAACTGTTGGTGTGACAGCAGTTTCACACGGCGTCGCTATGACAATCAGCTAAGAGTCTTGCCTACATTAAGGGGATACCATCTGCAGTGGAAAACAAAAAAGAAAATGTACCTGGTACCAAACGTGAGTCGAGTAGAATAGAGTCGAGCTGTACCGTGCAATGGACACAGCTTTAGTTTAGCATGTTAGCAAGCTAAAATTTGTTAACACTGTAAAGCTGAGGCTGATGTAATTTGTTTTGCAGGTATTTGGCAAAACCTGATGATGGCACTAAATTAAATATCGGGGGATTACTCTTAACTAGAAATGTAAACATGCTGATGGCACTACAGGAAAAGTCATGGGTTTACCAAAGTCTTTAGGATTTATCTTCTGTGAACCATGAATGTCTGGACAAAATGTAGAAGATATAAATCAATTTCACAAGATAAGTAATACATACAATACAATCGGCTTCATCCTCTGGGCACCAAGTGATAGTTCAGCTGACCGGCACTGCCATAGCACTAGTCACCAGTCAAATATGTAGCATAATGATTTCTGTAAAATAATAATATAGAATAGTATAAAGCGAATGGAGGATGTATGATTTTCCCTTTGCAGTCTATTCCATGGAATTGTTGAAATTTCTTTCTCCTTACATTTTAGCCCATGGGACAGACTCTAGAATAAACACTATTAAACTTTGCATAAACATGCTTTTCTCTTTTATTTCTACTGAATAGCTTCCCATTCAGTTTTTTCCTGTGTGTGTGTGTCATTCTTTTTTTTTACTAGTGACCTATGTGGCCTCTGTTAAAGCTCTTACAGCGGGTTATCTCTAATAGTTAACCTTGAGTAAACTCCTCTGCAGATGGAGGTGATGGAAAGTGTTCTTGATGTGAAAAAACATCCTGATGGGATTAGTTTAACTTGTCAAACAAGTGACTTGCGCTGTTATATTCGTGTTTTTAGTGTGTGCGAGCACATGGCTGCTTGAAGAGCAGGAAATATTGCGTGTTGATCTCAGTGATGTCCTCCACCTCTAATCAGCTGTCTCATATAAAGGTCGGAGGTCAGTCCGTGGTTTATGTCAGAAAGGTGAGGTTATGTTGAAGCACATTCTCATTGGTCGATCCTCTTCCTACGATAGAGCCGAACCTGTCATTCCCATACACATAATAACAAGAACCGTTATAGAATATATTCAATAGAGTGCATCCCTGAAAAAAATAGATCAGTCAGTACAAGGCTGACTTTTTGTTGAGACTATGACAGAGAGGTGTTTTAATTGTGGTCTGTGTTGTTGATGGATTACATTATCTTGTACAGTAAAGTTTTCTGTCATTTTGTCCCTCCTGTAGGGGGTTGAAAGAATAAATAACTGTAGTGTATATTAAGGAATATTAATAGGTGTTAATAGGTGTTTTTCTTTGAGCATTAAATATTCAGTGGGCTTAAATATTGTTTAAAAATGATATAAATGATTGAATATGAAAGTTCGTTCTTGGTATATAATCTCAACCAAAGTCCACTTTTTTGGGGGGGGGGGGGGGACTATTGTGCATTGTTGTAATTGTCAGTGCTAATAAATATTTTCATAGCTTTTGTAACTGATTTACTCTTTTGATTGCAATGCCTTGGATTTTAGTGAGCGTTTAGTACGACAGTAAATAGCGCATAAATGCGCATGTCTAATAATTGGCATAATAATTCTCGTTTTGGTGTTTCGGTTTTCGGCGTTGGTTCTTTCCTCATTTTCGGTTTTCGGTATTGCCAAGAATTTTCATTTCGGTGCAGTCCCTAGTTTAAAATATGAAGCCTACTGTCCACCAGCTGGTTAGCTGAGCTTAGCCATAAATGCTAGAAACCAATATTTATCTAATCCAACAACCCAGCTTAATGGAATTATGGTACGGAGGGCTAGTATATCTAATATAGTGGGGATGGTTGATGAAGAACAAAGGTTTGGGACTAGTGACATGCTTTATATGAATATTTGTCATCGTGAGCCATGGGAACTTTTTTCTGCCTTTAATTTGACATTCCCTTGTAATGAGGTTTTATTGGTTGGGGGTTGGGTATTAGCAACTAGAATCTAATTCGGATTGGTGTCGTAAAATGTTATGACAAAACAGTTCACATGTTAAAATGTAATGTCCTAAGAATGTGCCGGATGGAATTGTTAAAATCATATGTATTTTGCAGCTTCTTGACAATTATAGAGGTGGATTCAAACATTGTAATATACCATCTCAACCCATGCTCATAAACAATCTTAATATCTCGAGGCTACGCCGCTGTATTCCCCATTTTTGTCTTGTGATATCTAGTTAATCTGCCAAAGATGTGTTAATCCAGCCAATATATTCGGGTGTCAAGATGTATACTGTCAGATAAGAAAAAGGAATAACTGCAGAATAAATGTTTAATTGGCAAAATTTATGTACATGTTTCCTAATTCAAAAGAATCAATAATTTAATTCGACGTGTTCAAATATCACATAATGTTTGTATACGTAATGTTTTTAATGTTAACACAAAACATTACAGGAGGAGAAAAAAGAAATACTGGCTCAAATATTGCTATCAAGATTTTATTACTTCTCAACTATCCGGCTATTTAGAATCCTATTTCTCTCGTTTTAGTCTGCGCTCGCTACGTTTTCTACCTTTATAATTATAAGATAATGGCAATCAAAGTTCATACTATGTTTTGGATTTCCGGTGATAAATTAAACCCCGACCGTGAGAAGCTCTTTACCCCAGATGCACCCCCCCTCCTTGATTTCAGAATTACCACCCGTTTACCAAATCGCCTATCCTGTCTTTCTCAATATATTGAAATACGTCCCCCAACCGCAGACATGTTGGCGGCTCTATCCCAGACAAACCGCGTGTGATGGCCCG